AAAATAAAACTGTTGCAGCACCATGAAATTATATAAAAAAAATGCAGGTTGGGCTGATGATTTATCAATTCGATAATTTTCTTTTCATACTGAGACTAAACTGACTCGCCATACTTCCACTTATACTATTCTACAGCTCTTCGCAAGACACATATATACTGAAATCAAAATTAAAAGTAATACCTATATTGAACTAGCAAATTTTGAAAGTATTTTTCTAACTTTAATTTTCAAAGTAGTAAAACGTGAGTCTGATAAAAACTTTCTGGCTGGAGAAAGAAATCTAAACGTGTATGAAATGACATTCCCCGTATGATTTACATGATTTGCAGGCACAATTCAATAGTATTCATTTCAAAGATAAGCTGCTCTCCATCTGTGCTTGATGATTTCATTTTATATCATTTTGAAGGCCAATTATAACTTCGATCGATATTCACATCCAAATGAATGAATGTTTGATGTATATACTCGTGGGTCAGTCAATTGATATAACACTCATTATTTATGAATGCATTCGAAATTATGAAAATGAAGTTCATCGTATCGTTGGAATGAATCCTGTAGAGGTGAATCCATCTATGAAACTGGGACTTTGAGCGATTTCGAGAAGGCAATATGAAATGAACGAAAAACTTGAGGTCAGAGGAATCTGATTGATTCCTGAAAAATTCATACGAAATCAAAACGGCAATATGAAACGAAGCAGAATAGCATTCGTTACAACTCAGAAAAACTCAGTAGCACTTGTGGTAACTGAGTTGAACTTCACCTTTTGTATATCAGCAACTAGCTCTGTAATCTACTAAAATATCTGTATGAAACTACAGCTGAGAATTAATAAAGAAGATTTTTATTATTATTATCAGATAATAATTCGAACGAGATTTGGCTTGTTTCAAATACATCTGTCAGTGCAAAATCCTTTCTTCTATTTTCATTTTTTTTTCTCCGAATAAAAACCGGTATTGTGCTTGAAAAATACACATTTTCTTCACAACAAATTAATTCAGATAGAACACAAATTCTAGTTGTAATCAGCCTCTCCTGGAATTATATTTGCTCTTTATTCGATATATGACATGAACATGTCATATACCACTTTTTCAAATATGCCACTTTTTCAAATATTTTTGCAGTCACCTTATTTTCCATATTGAAGTATCAAATTTAGTTGGCTGCTTATCCATTCCATTCCTATAATCCTCACACAAACTATAGACTTCCACTTTCAAACCCCAAGCCCCAGGCAGAACGCTCGATTTTCACTTGCTATCGTCCAACTCGTGTAAGGAATCATACGTTAAAAGGTAAGACCTCGTTAGTCTTTAACTCGCACAAGTTTCGACTTCTGAGGGTTGTCGTTCGTAGGGGTGCGATAGCTAGTTAACGGAAAAAACATATTTTAAACTTAAGAAACTGTTTTCAGAATCCTCCTGATTCTTTTTGTTAGTACGGAAAGGGCACTTTGTTGTAAAAATGTGGCATCTTTATTATTGAAATTTCCAGTTATACCTGATCGACGACTACTACTACTACTACCAAATGATGACAGTGTTTCAAATCTCATTTCTTTCAATCATCTTTCAGCATATTTAATTTTACAACATGGAATTTCTCAACTGCATTCCAAATGGTTTCAAATGATCCATCTGTTGTAAACTTTAACATTCAACTTTCAATGCTACACTTTTATTCTTATTTGACAGTGTAATTCACTTCATTTTCAATATACTTTTCCAAGATACTCTGATGAATGCAAAAACATTTAACCCAAACCGTTTACTTGCGGCGAAAAAAAACATAGTTTTTTATTGATCTTTCGGGGATTTTTACCTTCCAGAATCTAAAAATAAATGTAAGTTTTTAGAGGGTAGAGAGGAAAAACTTTTATTTCACTCCGATGAGTTGCATATATTAAATGTATTTTACGCTAAAAAATGGCTTAATTATCTGTAACTTGTATTTGATTATTTAATTTATAAAAAAGATCTGTTGTACAGACACCTATCTTATGATTTTGGAGGCCAAAATATACCTTCGTTTTCAAAACTGAAAACAATCAAATATAATTTGCAGTTTTCCTTCTTTTATCCGTTTTATTTTCAAACTTCTTCGACAGATGTCAGAGGAAATACATTGAATTAACGCAGTAACTTATCGAAGTGAACTAGAAGTTCTACTCCTACATAAAGTTATCTATTGAAATTCTCACTTTTTCAGATTGTGGAAGGTGAATATCCACAAACAGTTCAATAAAAAGTTCCAAAACAAAACAGAGGGTCTGTGATATTAACTGTTCTTCGTTCACGAAGACAATTTCAAAAAGCTACATTCAAAATTCTTGGGGATTTCATTTTATTTTGTTGCACACCTACTTACTCTTTTTCACAAAAAAAATCATATTCCTACTTGTATATTTCAATGCGTATGCTTTTCATATCGAAGAACATATTTTGTACTCGATATTGAAATTTCGATATTTTTATACAGGGTGTTTCAAATTCGATCCTCACCATTGGGATCTCGGAAACTATGGGAGATACGAAGATGATTGAATTGGGGCAAAGTTGTGCATTTCCCTGACTACCAATATGCCGTTGAGAAAGTTCTGAAATTCCGAGAGATATACTGAAAAATAGTTTTAATTTTTTTCTGGCTTTATTTTTTGAAAGATTCGAAAATGAATTGCACTTCCACATTGCCTTTTTTTCCTGATACATAATGGGTTTTCAAATTTGCTTCAGCAGACGTTTCGTCTTCCGACCACCATCACCAACACTATTTTTTCTTATGGGCGCTGCATTGGGTTCTTTCTGTTTTAAATAGAACCAGATTTTCAATTTTCAATGATGTATCATAAGTTATCATTCTTTTTCGAAAAATTGGAGACATTGAAAAAAATTAATTCTTATCATAATAGGCTTCGACGTTGATGTTTCTAAATTTGACTTTCAATTTGTTACACTCAATGAAACTTTGTTATTGTACAAGTCATTGAATTTTTGGCAAATAAAATACTCTAAAATACTCGTCTGGTAGTGTGCGGTGGAGCACCATCATGTTGAAACCAGATGTTGTTATAGTTAGCCAAAGGTAGATCATCCAGTCTTCGAAATTCGACATTAAAAACTGATGATAGGTTTCTCGAATCAGAATTCCATCAAATAAATGAGGACCCAAAATTCTACCTTTGTAAATTCCTGCCCACACGTTTATACTAAATCGCATTTGAGGTCGAATTTATCGAAACTGTCTGGGGTTGTTTATGCTCCAAATGTGTTCGTTATTTCGGTTGAATATTCCACAATTCGTAAGTGCTCTGTCCAAATTACATTTTCCAGGAAACGGGAAAATCAGGTCTTCTTATTAGCCAATTACAAAATTGTAATCACCTTTCGGGATCACCTGGTTGCAATTTTTGAGATATGTGTATTTTGTAACATTTTATACCGCTTTTCTTGAAATGTCTCCAAGAACATGTATGACAAATATTCATTTCGGAGGAAATTTGAGGATTTCCCTGGGTGAACATAGCTCGATGTGGTTGTCGTCTTTCGGGATACAAGTTTAAATACATTTCCGATGTCCAAACACTGTTTCTATCGTATTTGTGATAAATTTGTATCATATCTCTTTTTTTTGTGAAAGCCATTTTTCGCCAAAAATTCAATGACTTGTACAATAACAAAATGTCATTGAGTGTAACAAATTGAAAGTCAAATTTAGAAAAATTAAAGTCGAAGCCTGTTATGACAAGAACTAATTTTTTTCAATATTTCCAATTTTTCGAAAAAGAATGATAACTTATGATAAATACTTCATTGAAAAGGTAAAATCTGGTTCTATTCAAAACAGAAAGAAGCCAATGTAGCGCCCATGAGAAAAAATAATGTTGGTGATGGAGGCCGGGAGATGAAACGTCGCGTCGGATAGCAAATCTGAAAACACCACTATGAACTAGCAAAGAAGTGGAAATGTGGAAGTGCAATTTATTTTCGAATCCTTCGAAAAAGAAAGCTAAAAAAAACATTTTCCGAAATTTCTGTTTTTTCCTGATATCTCCGAATATACTCGGAATTTCATAATTTTCTCAACGGCGTTTTGTTAGTCATGTAAATGCGTAACTTTGCCCCAATTTAACCATCTTCGAATCTCCCAAAGTTTCCGAGATTCCAATGATGAGGATCGAATTTGAAACACCTTGTATATTATACGTTCACAAAATTGTTTTTATTTCGTGTAATTCGATGTTGATATGAAAGTAGCTGTATCAGGAAGGCTTTTTTTCCAGTTTGTGTCTGAAGTTACTTCTTTCCTTGAACTATAGATATTTGTATACAGTTGACTTTTTTGAAATTGATTGCTTCCTTCTTTTCTTTGGAAGATTCTCACTTATTTTTGTATGAAGATGGAGAAGCAGGAAGTCAGAACCGTTCTTTCCCGATATTGACAAGTTCTACACCTTTCTGAGGAACGGAATTAATAGAATTAATCTAGACTTTCCCTCTCATTCAAGTTGGGGGAGGGAATCGGTACCTTGGACTCTTCTTGTACTCTACAAATATTCACGATACCACCCTATAGAAGTAAACACTTCTATACGGTGACGATACCCACATTCAAACCCCTACCAAAGACGGTCCAGGCTATTGCGATTATCCAAACGGCGCGCGCACCGATCTGTGACGGAACCACTTTTCAATGGTAACGTTTACACGAGGCTGACGAGGCTGGATTTTATCGCGTTGCGTTAAGTAAGAGACACGAGTTTAGTGTGTGACGTGACGTTGTTAGTTGTAATTTTTTTATATTCGTGTGAATAATGGATAATAATGCAGTAGTTTCTTGGATTTCGTCATTATTAATGGTGAGTTTTGAAAATCTGTAGAGAGAAGTGAAAGAACCAAACGATTTAAATTTCGAAATATTCCTAAGTATATTCATAAGAAGCAGATCCTGAATTTTCTTCAGGATTGAGGCATCTTTCGTCTTCCTGGACTTACTTTCAGACTAATCGCAAAAATACCTTTTCTTTTTCTTGGTTTAATTTTGAAATAGGCACTTTTTGTGTCTAAAAATTAATTAGGTACATATATCAATTTTATCATAATCTAGATATAGCCACACAAAAACACTCGATAAATAAATGAATCCTCAACTGGAATCCCATATTTAAGTAAAGCTGATGTCACCCATGAAAAAGTAACAAGTTTTTCCCGGGAAAAGTGCGATACCAACTTCAGAAAAGCCACTCACATTTTCATCGGCAGTAAAATTACGGAAACGCAGAAGGTCACATATTTTTATTATTCGTTTCTCGGAAATTATATGATGTTAAAAGTTGAAATTGTGACTTAAAACTCAAAACCACGAATTTAAACTTGAAATTTCGACTTTTATCTCAAGTTTCGACTTTAAATTCGAAAATACGATCTGTAACTCTAAACATTTGCATCAATCTCGAAATTTCGAGTTCAAAATCGAAATTTGGGGAATAAAGTCGAGTTTGAAGTCGTAATTTTGAGATTAAACTCGAAATTTCGAGTTTTAAAGCCGTGATTTCCAAGAAACAATTAAAAATATATAGCCCTTTTGCGCGTCAGTACATACCTAATATAATGTGAAGGCTAGAAAAAAAATGGCTCTGGAAAACGAAAGTGTCAGGTGTGCACCGAAGAGGAGGCCAAGGTCCTATTCAACCGAGATATCAATCACTATTGTTGATGCAGGTCGTACGCAAAAATTGTGTACTATACGAGAACACAAAAACTGATTATTTCATTATTCCAAGGGAACAGAAAATGGAAAAAGATGAAATACTAAGGAAATAATCAGATGTATACCACCTTGTGTTGCACTTATAGTCGCGAATTGAAATTCACTGCATAAACTGAATGGCAGAAATAATTTCGATCCATTTTTCACAAAGATTCAAGCTGTAGACGGTAATCTGTAGCAGGTAATTGACATTTGGTGGCAGACATCACCTATCTGAGTACCTACCTGTGATAAGAAATTTATCATTGAGTTTAAGGAGATATATTTTACCAGATTCAGTATGAGGAACAAACCCTAATCTCGACCCTAATTATGTTGGTAATAAAAGGCCTAAAGAAGAACAAAATAATTTGTAATGTAAATGTTTTTGTTCATCGAATTATTTTGTTCGAAGTGGAACAAATAACATGACAGGGAATTTAAAAAATTCTGTCATTACCATAATGTGGTGATTATAAAAAATACCTTTTCTGTAGTCACACATCAGATTGAGTCATTAACATTTTTACTCATCTCCTATCCCTTCTGGGGATTTGGATCTGCTACCTGTTGAATCCATCTTACAGTTACAATTTGTTATCTTTACAACTTATTCGATATTCGAATAATAACCAGAAATTATTATTATTATTATTATATGTATTTATTGCGAACTGTCCAGCTTTCAGTAAACAGAATCCAATCATCATTCAAAATCAAATATTCTAAATAATGATTGACTTGGTGTTTATGACGGACGGAAAATATCAGGGGTGTAACGGAACCTCCACATGTTTTTTAACGAAATTTAATTTATGAATGAGCATGGTATTCCGCAGTATAAAGCTGCAAAAATTTTGTTGAATCAAATTAGTCAATAACTTGTCGTAATTTTGTCTGCAATTTTTATATCTTTTTAGATCTCTTAACATCTTAAACGTTTCGGAGGTACTCACGTAACACACAACCGTGTTCACACGCCTGAGGAAGCTATTGTATAGCGAAACACGTGTTGCGGTTTTGTAAATTACTCGGTGAAAATTTTAATGATATGTTACTTGAGAATACCTTATTAAAAAAAACACTTCAATGTGAGATTTCCAATTAATAATAATAATAATAAACGAACGACAGCAGAAGGCTGTTATTCTTGGCTCACTGCGCTTGCTCAGGGCACATGAATCTCGGACCCAATGATCACCTACCCCACGGTGTGGGGAGTGGTCATTGGTTGATAATGCTGGCGTGCCCTCCCGCATGTATCAGGGCCTCAGGGGATAGGGCCTAACCAACGCACACTACGGTGAAAAAAAAAACCTCTTTATTACTACAACCACACAAACTACATATGGAGTTCTAACTACATATATATAAAGTTATAGTAAAAGGCGAAATTCAATTTTCGCAGCTATGCAAATAACTGCTAAATTGTTCTTCTACTTGACAGTTTACAACACCGCGACAAGTGTTTTGTAAACTGTCAAGTGGAAATCTCACGTGAAAGTGTTTTTTGAATACGTTACAATAGATTTCCATCAAGTATTGGTCAGTTCTATCTTATCAGGCTAGGTTATGTTAGGTTAGTGAGTGTGTCTGTTCGATACTCCACCGCAACCCACAAGGGTTTATTGTGGCGCACACCTATTCACACTCGACCAAATAAACCTAGCTCCTTAACGAAGCCGATTAATTTATATGGTCCGATGGTAAGAGTGTGGCTCTGCCAAACTCTGAATACCTGAATCGATCCGCAGCAGGGCACGCACAAAATATGTGCTCTGCTGTTTCATAATTTTCCAAACAGAGGCGACATACACTGACTTACGACAGTATGAGTCTCTGCATATGATGATTCAAATGACAGTGACCTGTGAGAAGGCCTGTTAGACATCATAGTTCATCCCTACTGTAGTACAACAAATGTTTGGTTTCAAGCTTCGAAAGGTGAACGAACGCCTTGGAGTGATTTTGCCAGGAGTCCATGAATCTTCTGGGCATCCGGGTCTTCAATGTGTTATTGGTAAAGCCTAAAGCGATGCCAATGACAGGTTCTGGTCCGATGACACTGCTTGCGGCACCCTCTTTTGCAAGGGAGTCATCAGCCTCATTGCCTTCCAGGCCAGTATGGCCAGGCATCCTATTGAGGAGAGTCGTTTTTGACAATTTGCTACCGATTTAGACGTTGCTTCTCCGCACACAATTCAATAGCATAGATTTCCGCTTGAAATACAGTCGCATAGGTTCCTAGGCAGGTTAATATCTCTGTCCTGGGTCTGCGACTGAAAACACCTGTAGAAAACCTGAATATGTTTTTGATCCATCTGTGAACCAAAAACTATCCCTCAATTTTTATTACTTCTGGAGGATTCAGTACTCTCTATTGGGAACAGTACTGTATGAGGCAGTTCGTAGTTGACAGTTGGAGGCATAATGTCAAATGCCGTTTTCAGAATGCTGTGACTTTCAGTGTCAATCAGCAGTATTATACTCTGCATTGGATTGATTTGTGCAATTGGCAATGTGCACAAGTCTTTATGCAGTTGTATCATATTACTTCAATAGGCTATGGATTTTCATCAAGTATCGGCCACTTCTATCACATTTCGGAAGTACATCTACATATTTATCTACAATCGACGCTAGCGCGAATACAAAAACGATACTACGTCTAGAAACGGTCCCACATTTTGAAGGTCACAAATTATCTGCGGTAATGATAATAATAATGTCCATTATCCTTACGTTCATCATGTTTGTGTTTCTGATACAATTATTGCTTTTTTGAAATGAATACTGATTATTATGATCTTTTTACGATTTTCAATTGTCTCATATTTGGTAACTGCTTGTGGAACTCTAACGATCATTATATTACATTACATTAATTTATTTATTATAAATAAGTTTCTTATCAGTACGATATGAGCAACTTATTTGAGAAGGCAATCATGATGTCATATACACACAAACTACAAAGATAAAATTCATTGTCTCAATTATCATTATTTAAGCATACAATTTGTGACTCACAAAATATGGGAAGACCTGTAATTGGAAAAAGAGGATCAGTTTTCACCATTTTTAGCCTAAGAGTTTTGAGATTCGGAGTAGGAAATAGCAGAAACGCAAATGAAATGATTGTTAGTTTTGAAGTCCACATTATTATTATTTCAACAAGTATTTTTCGACTCGCAGAACTTTCTCAAAATGTGATAATGGTAGAAAAAACATAAAAATAGGATCAGGTTTTACCATTTCCGCCATAAAAGTTTACAGAAACGCAGTAAGAAATACCAGAGACGCAAATATTCTGGTCGTTACATTTATAGTCTTTATTATCATCATTTCGACAGGTAGTTTATGACCTACAAAAAGGGATAAACTTTATTCCAAATAGGGAAATATTATTCATCATACTCATGAAAAACTTATTAAAAAAAAAGGAAAATCTTACCAGAAAAACAAAAATAATGAACGTTGGGTTTACAGTCATTATTATCATTATTTCAGCAGACAATTTGTGACCTACAAAATATGGAATAACCTGTAATCGAAAAAAGTGGATCAGTATTCAGAAACGCGATTAAAATTGCCAGAAACGCAAATATAATGGTCGTTAGGTTTTAGGTCTTCATTATTGCCATTTCGACAATTAGTTTATGATCTACAGAGAATGGAACAACCGATATTCCAAAGAAAGTTTTTTTTTATCGTACTCATGAGAGACTTATTTGAAAAAAAAAGAATTGTACCAGAAACACAACGAGCTAAGAATCCCACGTTGACAGTTGATATTTCGTTTATATTAAGCTTGGATAAGTCTCGATTTCTGAGGGTTGTCATTCGTAGGGGGCAACAGCTGGTTAACGAAAAAACAGATTTTTAACAGAAACAGATCATTATTATCATTATTCTTGTGACCTTAAAAATATGAGACAATCTGTATTGAAAAATGGAGAGTCAATATTAACCATTTTCATCATACAAGATTTTTTAAACGGAGCGAAAATAACAGACACGCAAATATAATTGTCATGAGTATGATAGTTTGAAAAGAGTAAACGTTTTTTTCCGTAGATAATTTTATAATGATAGTTCCAGTGACATTGA